TGCAAAAATGCAGGGACAACAAGTGTGGAGGCTGTCTTGGGTGATGACAACGAGGAGTTGCGGTGGATAGCTGCGGGACAATAGGAAGGAGGTGTTCCCTGGTTGTATTGGGTCGGCAGCGACATAGCGGGAGGGCTAGGATAACAAGAAGGAGGTGCGGTAAGGGGAAAATGGATGCTGACGATTGCTCTGATAGAAATTTGAAATCTGAAAGTAATCAAAAGCCAACCCTTAGCAAGCAACCAACATCAATATATAATAGATGATAATAGATAGAACTAGAAAGTAATGGGAAAGGAAATGGGTGAAATAGGAAGACATAGAAAGGGAAAGGAGTAGAAATATGAAAGGAAGAGAAATAGGAATGGAATGGGGGCGGCAGATTTGGAAAGGGAGGACCCTTTCCCTTTGGGCGTCTGTAGTATTGTAACAGATATAGTACCATCTCTCGGTAAGCTTTCGCGTCTATCTCTTGGGGTTGGGGGAGTTTCAAATTTATTTGTCGAAGCTTCGGGGTCCTCGTAGTACGAAGTCAGGTTTGCGACATTGAACGTAGTGGAAACATTGTAGTTCCTAACAGGTTGATCTTGTAGGTGTTGTCATTTCACAACACATTTTGATAGAATAATATGCATCTTTTTTTTGGTATATCCTGAGCTAGAGCAACATATAGATGTAGGTTTTCACAATATAATTCTCGAGCCCTTAAGTCTGAAATCTGTTTCTTCCACTTCTTGTATTCAACAGATTATAACTAATAAAGAAGTATGTGAGGAATAATCAACTCTGAGATAAAATTTGTAGTAGGCTGTGCTATTCTCACTAGCAACTACTTAGGAGAGACATCTTCTTTACTGATAGAACCTGGATCTCATTGAAGAATTTCCTTCCTCATCAAGCTCTTAAGACAAATTTCAAGGATGGGGTTCATTCCTCTTTTTTGGACGTTTAATGATGGGTACCATACCGAACTGAATCTAACATTTGAATATCTCTATGTAATCATCCCAACGTGTTACAAAAGGGCCCCATTTCTGACGTGTTAGACCTCCTTCAGTAGGGGCAACTCTAGAACGAGTCTATAAATCAAAATGGTTTGAATTTCTCTTATTTGGGTTGTCCTCTGTCTACTAGCGGCTTCTTAAACTCGCGACCCTTTTGGACATCCAAGGTTAGTTGTGCTAATACTCCTCTCAACGCCTATGCCCATTACATCACAGTCATTACCTTCTAGGACAACTATTGTTACCTCAGATGGAACCTCTGTCTTCGGGTCAACTGGAATCAATGACATCTCTTCCTTGTTGGCTGAAAATTGAGAATCCTCTCCTAAGTCTCCCTCTTTTTTTCGAATCATCGTTTATTTCTTCAACTTCTCCCTGATCAGTGAAAGCGATTACTCTCCCGGTTGTGCAATCTGATTCACTATGCCCAAATCCGTAGCACCTAAAACACTTTTCGGCCATGACGAATTTAGGGATGCTGATTGGTTCCACCTGTTCTCCACTTTGACCCAGCTTTCCCTTTGACGGTGTTAGCTTGGATGTTCTTCAGAGTGTAATCTGGTTGTAAGACCCTAAGGTTGAGCTCTGCCTGTAAGACGTGGTGTCTCCACTTTTGAAGCTAGAGTCTGAATATTTTGTTTATAGTAAGCTGATAGAAACTGTCACTGGATCTTCCTCTTCATTATCAGATTCTCCCATTCTCTATTTGTTGACTCTTCTCTCGTTCTCCTCTAATACTGGATTCCAAAGTGTCATGAACGGTCTTGTGCATCACTAATGTCCTCCCTATGGAAGGGATTCATATCCTCGTTACTTGCTCCTCTTTGATTCTCCAGATCCCGGTCGATGGTAATGAGCATCTCTCCTTGGGTTTCATCTCAATATCTACAAGCCTCCGCTGAAGTTGACGGATCTTCCGTTGTATCTCTTCCTAGGTAGGCTCGGACATGTTTTTCTTTGGTGGCATGTTTAGGGTTTTGGGGTGGTAGGTGAAAGAGGACGACAAAAATGATTTAAGGTTACTGATTTCGAAATCAACAAGGGGAAATTAGGATTAGGTCAAATTTTTGGCTATGTTTTTGGAATAGGAAAGAAAAATTTTGGTGGGAGGTAGGACAAATATTAGGAAACCCTATGATAGGACTAGAGTCATGCTAGCTCTGATATCAAATGATACTGGAGTTATCTCAATTCATAGTAGGACAACGAATATTATTACTTGAAGCATATAAATGATTACAACCAACACACTTGAAAGGAGAAATACAATAACACGACACATGCAAACACCACTAAAGTGTATCCCAAGGGTGGAGGAGGTTGGCTAGGTCGATCGGGATCGCTGACGGGGGTGGCGACAACAAATGAATGATGGTGGCAACAAGGGGGAGGTGCAGAAATGCAGGGACAACAAGTGTGGATGCTGTCCTGGGTGATAGCAGCGAGGAGTTGGGATAGATAGCCACTGGCTAACAAGAACGAGGTGTTCCTTGGCTGTCCTGGGTGGCAGCGGCATGGTGGGAGGGCTGGGACAGCTGGAAGGAGATGCAGTTTGGGCAGAAGCAATGTTGGAAGGGAGGGGAAGTTGGCTGATTGGCTGAGGACTGCAGAAACAACAAACCTAGTGCTGTTGCGGGTGTCTGTAGAGAGGTACGACGGCAGGGAGCTATGTGGGAGGATGCAGAAGGGAATATGAATAAGATAATCTCCACCTCGGGAGAGAGATATAGTGGGAGCGTCACCAATTCCTCGGATAACCCTTGAAGGGGAAAACAGATGCTAGCGATTGTCTTGATAGAGATCTTAAATTTGGAATTGATCAAAAGTCAATCTTAAGCAAACAATCAACATCAATATATAATAGATGATAGTAAATAAAAATAAAAGGTAATAAGAAAGAAAAGAGATGGAATAGGGAGGCATAGAGAGGGAAAAGAATAGAAATGAGAAATGAAGGCCTTGGGGCGTATTTGGAAAGGGAGGATCCTCTTCCTCTAGGTGTTTGTGTTATCGTATCAATTATAGTGCCGCATTCCTGTAAGCTCCCGCATCACTTTACTTCTCTTCCATTTGAAGGTGCATCATGCCAGAATACTAACTTTCTTCATCATATTCATTAACCTCATGATCTCTCTATAGGCCATGCAATTCCTTTTAGTTGCAAATGGATATGATTTCCATTGAATGTTAGAATGGTTTCTTCACAATTAATTTTCCATGCTCTTATTGCTTTTATAATTTTATCAGAGAATAATCCTTGCTCTCCCGTAGTCTCTAGTAATGGTTTTACAGATGTAGTAAAAATTGTGGTAATAACCCATTTAAAACTGGTAGATTTACATACACACAACTCAGTTCAAATTTATTTACATATCTACCTAAACTTTAGTTTTTACATACCACTTTATGTATGAGAAGATATATTTCACTTTTTAAAAGTTAAATGGTGGTATTTTTGATATGAAATGAAATATTTGGGTGGTGTAAATGTGAAAAGAAAAAATTAGGTGGCAACATGTAAATACATAAGAATTGAGTGGTATGTTATGTAAACGCCCCTTTCAACTAATGTCTTATCTATAGAGGCATGTTTCTCTAGATAATTTGTACCATGGACATTGTCCTTCGAGTGGAAGGAATGGCTTTTAGTCATGAAGATATTCTGCTATTAGTCTACCACATTCGGTGAAGATATGATTTTTGAAAAAAAACATAAAAGCTTGATCGAGTATCTAAATGGTTGTCCATGAATTTTTAAGGACTTCAATTATTTAGGCAATAATTAGAAACTTGAAATACATTGGTTTTTCAAAAAACTCATAGAGTTTCCATGCCACCCATTTAATCAACTAAGAGAGCATCCATATGGATATAAAAAAGTTGTATTCTGCATGACAAGTATTATAACGCTAAAAGATACACAAGTATCAAGCTTCGATTGGGCCATTGTATGCGATATAATAAAGAGCAAGTAACATGATATTACTGTGTGATCATGTAATTTCTTCTTGAAAAGAAACATGATGTACATAGATAAAGGCATAACAAAGGCTGTCCGAAAGATAAAATAAATAATGTGATAATACAAACAAACACAACACAATGAAGGAATTTATCAAATACAAGCTAAGTATGTGCACAAGCCAGGATGAGACCTAATAAAAAATTCAATACAATCATGTAGCAATGACCCATTCGTAGTCATCAGAAAAACTTTGTTAGCATTTTATCCTTTAATATTTCATAGACCGCAGTTATAGCTTCATTGGAAATGTTCGTAATTCTGCTAAGTTTTGTTAAATATTCAATAGTTGTGTATGACGAGTGACGGTTGATGCTTTGTTGAAATAACTGTAATTTTTTGTTCACTGCCCCTAACAAGACTTTCATGTTATCCGTATTTGCTCTTCCTGTAATAGATTGTTTGTTGGGATTGACTCCTGCGGTTGATCGTTTGCTACCGTTCGATTGACTAGAAGCTTGTTGCTTGCTGACTTGTGCAACCAAACATCCCCCTAATTGTGTTTTAAATGATTTTTAAAAGCGGCCTAATTTTTTCTTACCGAGACTATAGACATGTTTTCTGCTTTTTGTTTTTACATTCAAACTTTTTTTTCTTTTCTTTCTGGTTTTGTAAATGGGGAAGTAAAAAAAAAAACATACTTGAATGCGTTTTCGTTTGATGTGAAATTCATTTAAACAATATATAACACGAAGGAAAATCAACAGAAGTAAGAATAAAAAATATTTCTAACCAAGATTAGGGGATATCTTGAGCTTTGTGCACTAGCCTTTGCGTTTGATTGTAGTTCTCTGCTGTATTTTAAGTTGGTTTATTGCTTGCTTAATCTGAGTATCTGATGTTTTACTATAGCTTCTGTGTAATTTAATGGCTTGCATTTCTCTTTTTTTTTGTTCGTTCATGGTTTCTTAGTTCTTAGTGATGTATTTAAACATCGTAAACTACTTTCTATAATTCTTGTTATTTTCAAAAAGGTAGATCGAAAGATGGTAGAACAGTGGAATGGGGTCCCATGGATTTGATTAAGGGATTAGAAGAGTTTGTGCCAATCTATGACACTCGGCCTATAAAAAACAACACACATGGAATGGGATTTGATCACAGCTTTGGTCTTTGGTTCATGGCACGGTGGCTAAAACCGGTATTAATGATTGAGAGTGGAGTTTTCAACGGGCATTCCACTTGGGTTCTACGCCGGGCAATGCCAGAAACTCCGATCATATCTCTTTCACCGCGCCATCCAGAAAGTTATCTGATGGAGGGCCCTGCTTACGTTGATAAAAACAGCACATATTTTGCTGGGAATGAATTTGTGGATTTTGGGAGTATTGACTGGGGAAATGTTTTGGAGAAGCATGGAAATTTTGATATCAAGCAGGTTCTTATTTTCTTTGATGATCACCAAAATCATTTGAAAAGGTATACTTGCTAAATAATTTTTCAAATATGTGAATTTGCTTAAAACTTGTTGAATTAAACATCTTAAAATTCAGGTTGGATTTGCATTGTCTTTTAACTATTCAGTCGACCATTGTTATTTGAAAATTTATGGCCTATAAGTATTTTTTTAATTGGAGCGCTAGGAAGTTCTTATAATTGGCATTTGCTTGAGAATTCAAACTTTGTAACTTTTATCATTTTGCTTAACTGGATAGACTGAAGCAAGCACTAAAGTTTGGCTTTCAGCATCTCATATTTGGGGACAACTGTGATACTGGAACTGGGGATCATTATTCGCTAAGGCAGATATGTGATCAATTCTATGTTGGAGGTTCGTTCAGGCTTAGTAGCTTGCGTGTTTTTTTATCTTGTTGTTGTCGTTGATTTTGTCGAGCTTGAATTACATCATTTCCTTTTTGTATGCATATCATTATGCTGTTCTGTTGAGATATTTAATATTATAGGCAAACCTTAATTATAAATTTTCTAATGTTGTGATTTAGCTGCATTTTAGAAAATCTTAAACCAATTTATGACACAAGAATATATGCAGAGAATGAAGTGATACTTGTTCATATGGTTTCAAGAGAATGAGCATAGTGACATGTGAAACCAGAAATGCCGCTTGGCATACTATAGCTTTTATAGTCACAAAACTGTGCTGTGAGGTTCATGTTGTCTGATGGTATAATGATGATTTTAATTTTTTTTGAAAAGCTCCTAGATTTCCTCCTGTTGTTGAACTATGTGAATCTTCAGCTGTGAGTGACCCCCTGATTTTGGCAAAAGGTGTATGATAAATCACAAGATGTTACCGGAACTAGTTAGGAAATAAGTGGAAACAAAAGCAAATTTTTATTAGCACTATATGAGGGTTACAACACGACACAAACAGAAAGGGGAAATACAACAACAAACCAATCTCCGACTAGGACCCGAAGAAAAGATCAAGGGCAGTGGTGGCGTCGACAAAGTGGCAAGGGAAAAGGAGAATGGTTGAGGGCTGTCGGTTATGTTGGAAGGGTGATGTTGGCTGGTTTGGGGGTTTGGGAGAGTTGGGCGGCAGGGAAAGCTGCGGGGAAGGGTGCTGGGCGATTGTGGGATGAGCCAGACAACAAGGAGAACTGTTTTGAAGTTGCTGGCTGGATGCAGTTGAGCTGCTGGGAGGGCTGGAAAGCAAGGCCAGCAGCAGGTTAGAGGGTAATAGGGTGCTGGGAGGTGGATTTGGAGGTCTGGACAACAAGGTTGCAGTATGAGGAAGAGGCGGCAGAGCAGTTGGGATGAGGTGGGGAGGTCAGCGACTATGGGAAGTGGAGGAGAAGGGTTAGGGAAGATTATAGGAGAGGATATAACACCACCTAAGAGCAGGATACTACCAAAGCAATACCCGTCGTCGGATACAACCCTAGCATGGGAGAAGAAGACTTCAAAGAGAAATCTGAAAACAACAATCACACAAAACATAACCCTAACAAGCAAAAACATATAAATACTAATAGATAAAATAGGAAGGGAAAGTTTCCCCTTTGGGTGACAACCAGAAAGGAGAGACTACAACAAACAGAAGCAAGGGAGAGAGCAGGCATGGTATCTTTGTTCCCTAAAGGAGGTCAGTCTAGCATGATCTGGACCGAGATCTACTTGGAAAGTTTAAATGGCCATTCAACAAGCCGGTTCGGCTGGTCTTCCCCCTCCCACGTCTCACCTCAAGCCCCGCGTCAGTCTCCCTGGGTTGGAGGAGTTTAACTTTATTCGTCGAAGCTTCTGATTCTTTGTCTGTAATCTTAGCAGCACCTAGATCCCACTGGCGACTGCAACGTCCTTCAAGGCACTTGTGAGTCTTTTCCAATTTACTGGCAAACATCCACTGCGGACCGATCTTCGGGGAGTTTGCTACTAAGTCTGTATGTCTCACCTTCATTGTCGAATGCTCCCAAAGTACTTTGCAGTTTGCTATTGATATCACGATCGACACCGTACCACCAACACCAACACCTTACCAGGTCCAACATCTGTCCCCTAATCAAAAACTCTACTAAGCATCTCCAGTCGATGCTGATCCGATTCTTTTTCTTCAGCCATGTCAGTGAATACAATTGAGAATATCTCATAGTCATGAGACCCAATTTCTCAACCAACTGTATAGATGCTACATTTTACTTCTCCCTCCATTGATGATGAGATTACATACCTTCCCTTTTATGATGCGCCAGGTGTAGATTATATTGTGACGAAGCCACTACAAATCCCTCGTATCAATATCGGTCTGTAAGAACTGTCGAAATACGAGCGCTTCTCCTTCATCTGGTGGAAGGTGATACACCTCACCCTGGTCCTCAGATGTCTCATCATTGCTAAGTTCCTCCACGACACCTTGCCTCTGAGAGTGATTACTCGGCTCATGGGATAACTGGAGGCTACGTGGCCTTAGTCGTGACACCTGAAACACTTTCTAGCTGGTATTGTATTGGAGGAACTACCTTTCTCTTGTTTCTTCTCACTCTAATCCGCTTGTCACTTATCGGGGCTTGCTAGTTCCTCCCGAGATACCCTTGTCCATCGTGGTAGCTGTAGGTGACTGCTTGACTAAAGGCTGCTGCCTGCTTTGTTTCTATTGTATTTTCACCTTCTAGGCTAGAGTCTGAACACCTCCAAGTGATGAATAAGGCTTCAACTGCACCACATTGCTGATAGCTGCCTTTACCCCACATATAACGGGATATGGTGTGTTTCTCTGGCTCGATCGAATTTCATCTCATCCACAATTAATCAAACTGCTCCGTGAACTTCTCTAGTGACAGATCTCGCTGTTGCAAGTGGTGGATCCTCGGAAAAATATTTTGGCCATAATGGGGTGGACGGTATTTCCTCTGCATCACTTTCTTCATCTTCTCCCACCTGGTAATATTATCACTGCCTTCTCTTTTTCTCTGTCTCCATATGTTCTCCCATTTCAAAGAGGCACTTTCTTCAAATTGATAACAACTAATTTGACCTTCTTGTCCTCTGGCACATTCTTATACTCGAAGATCCGCTCAATAGATTGCAGCTAGTCAATAAAATCTTCTGGATTCATATCTCCCTCAAAATTTGGTAGATCAACTTTGATGCAGAAGTATCTGTGCCCTTCAAATGATATCTCCTCTCTCAATTCTCCCTATGGAAGGAATTTAGATACCCTTCTCTAGTCAAATGATATCTCATCTCTAAAATTCTCCCTATGGAAGGAATTTAGATACCCTTCTCTAGTTTTCCTCTGATACTGGATTCGGAAATGTTGTGGTATGTCTTCTTCATCCCTTAAATTCTCCCTATGGAAGGGATTCATATCATCCTCTCTATCTCCCCTTCACCTTTCCAGATTTCGGTCGAGGGTAATCTCCCCCTTGGTCATTCATCAATCTCCGCAAGCCTCTGTTGAAGGCGACGAAGCTCTCGCATTATCTCTTCCTAGGTGGGTTTGGACATGTATCTTCTTGGTGGCATGATTAGGGTTTGGGATTTGTGGAAGTAGAAAGGGTATTTGACGTAGGAAAGAAATATTTTAGTTTATGCTGGATGCTAGAAAACCCAAGGATAGGACTAGGGTTGGGCTAGCTCTAATACCAAATGATACCGAAACTAGTAAGGAAATCGGTGAAAACGAAAGTAAAATTTTATTGACATAAATGGAAAGGGGAAATACAACAACAAGCCATTGTCCGACTAGGACCCGAAGAGAAGATCCAAGGACACTGGTGGTGTCAGCAAAGTGGCAAGGGAAAATGGGAAGGGTTGAGGGCTGTTGGGTATGTTGGAAGGGTGGTGGTGGCTGGTTTGGGGGTTTGGTAGAGTGGGGCGGTGGGCAAAGCTGCAAGTAAGGGTGGCGAAGGGTGCTGTGTGATGGTGGGATGAGCCGGACAACAAGGAGAACTGCTGTAAGGGGGCTGGTTGGATGCAGGTGTGCAGCTGGGAGGGCTGGACAACAAGGCCAACAATAGGTTGGAGGGGAATAGGGTGCCGGGGGGGGGGG